ATGCAAAGCCCAAACCAGCGCATCTTGCTCGACGACGTGTCGTTGGGTTGTTGCCGCCACCAGATGTATAAACACCCTTTGAGCACTCTCGCAACCAGAATAGCTAGTATCATCTTTACGAATCAGGACAAGCAAAGACACTCATGTCAAAGCTGATGCGCTTGTTGGGTTGGTCATTCTGCATCCCTTGATGAGCTCTCTGCCAGCACCACCACGTGCCTACGGGTCATCACTCTGTAAAAGACCATCACTCTCAAATTGCTGGAGGCAGCAAGTGCAAACTACGACCACTCGACACGAATACATGTACGAGCGGCCAGCAACTTTCATGTGCAGTCCGATCAAACGCTCCATGGGATGTAGACTGCATGATCATCCACGGCCGTCAAACCGTTGTCGTCCAAGCTCGATAAGTTGGCCAATCCTTGCTAGGCGCTCCTCGTCGCTACAAAACATCCTTCACGGAGTCGAATCCATTGCCTTGGTCTCGTGCCCTCCGATGCGAATGCGTGTACTCGATGAACCGATCGATGGCGATCTCCAAGCTGGATGCTACACGCTCCACGACCTCTACCGAACCACTGCACCTTCCATCGGACGCTCCTCGCCAGTCGAAAGCAGAGTGACCAAGTTCAAGCGGGTGCACCCGAGACGCGACACGTGGTGCGAGCCGGATAAGTCCATAGATCTTGTTTGTCGCAGTTTGGGCAATCAGCGCTGTTGGATGGCGTCCGTGGAAGATCCCTTTGGCGGTTATCGATGGGTCCTTCCTCGCCCTTCCAGCCGCCCGCTGTGCGCCGGCCCAAGGGTCGGTTGCCTGCGCTCCATCGCCCGCCATCGCCTCCCGCCGTACGAATCGCTGTAGCTGGCGCCGTCGCTCCAGGATCGTCGTCGGCGGTCTCGCGTCGGCGCAGCCAGAATAAAATTCTGATGTCCCACGGCCGCCGGCTGGCTGATTCTTTTGTAAATAAAATGGTTTCATACAATCACGTAGATAAAATAAATATTGCCCTGTATATGGTCCGGCGTAAGATCCCTCATTTTCGATCTCCTCGCCAACATGACCAAGTACCAAAGCACCCGCGGTGGCGTCCGCGGCTTCTCGTTCGAGGAGGCGGTTCTGAGCGGCCTCGCGGCCGACCGCGGCCTCTTCGTGCCCGAGAGCGTCCCGCAGCTGCCCGAAGGCGCGCTCGAGGCCTGGGCCAAGCTCTCGTACGAGGAGCTCGCCGTCGAAGTCATGAGCCTCTTCATTGACGACGCCGAGATCCCGCGCGCCGACTTGACGGCGCTCGTCGCCAAGGCGTACACGTGCTCGGAGACCAACTTCCGCGACCCGACGATCGCGCCCGTCGTGCAGGTCAAGGACCAGCTCTACATGCTCGAGCTCTTCCACGGCCCGACGTTTGCCTTCAAGGACGTTGCGCTCCAGTTCCTCGGCCACCTCTTCGAGTACTTTCTGGAGCGCAAGAACCGCAACGAGACGTCGGGCAAGACGCACCGCATCACGGTCGTCGGCGCCACGTCGGGCGACACGGGCAGCGCTGCCATCTACGGCCTCCGCAACAAGAAGAACGTCGAGGTCTTCATCATGTACCCGCACGGCCGCGTCTCGGCGATCCAGGAGCAGCAAATGGCGTGCATCCTTGACGAGAACATCCACAACCTCGCCGTTAAGGTGCGCTTCTCCGCAATTGTGCGAGGTCGAATGCTCATGCAGCGTGGTGTGTAGGGTACCTTTGACGACTGCCAGGCGATCGTCAAGGACTGCTTTGCCGACGCCGAGTTCAAGGCCGCGTACTCGCTCGGCGCCGTCAACTCGATCAACTGGGCGCGCATCCTCGCGCAGATCGTCTACTACTTTTACGCGTACTTTCGCCTGTCGCCCGAGGCGCAGAAGAAGGTCGCGTTCTCGGTGCCGACCGGCAACTTTGGCGACATTCTCGCTGGCTTTTACGCCATGGTAGACCTCCATCTTTCGTATGTATCTCATGGCGCATGGCGTAGAAACTCGGTCTCCCGATGCAAAAGCTCATCGTCGCGACCAACGACAACGACATCCTCCACCGCTTCTTCTCGACCGGCGCGTACCATCGGTCGGGCGTCTCGCACACGATCTCGCCGTCGATGGACATTTGCGTCTCGAGCAACTTTGAGCGGTACCTCTTTGCGCTCTGCGGCGACGACGCCGCGATCCTCCACCAGTGGATGAGCACGTTTGAAGCGACGGGCAAGCTCACAGTCGAGGGCCCGCTCCTCGCCAAGGCCAAGCACGAAATGGCCTCGTACAGCGTCCTCGAGCCGGTACATACCATATCTTATTTGTTTCTTATCGATACTCATGCTCGAGTTCTAGGAGGTGCTGCAGACGATCCAGACGTACCACGATACGCACAACTACGTGCTCGACCCGCACTCGGCGATCGGTGTTGCCGCCGGTGACGCCTACCTCCGCGACGTGGCCGACGCCGACGTGACGGTCGTCGTGCTCGCGACGGCGCACTATGGCAAGTTTATGCCGACGGTGCAGTCGGCCTTTTCGACGCCAGTGGCGCTGCCGCAGCACCCGATCCTCAAGGCGCTCGAGTCGCTGCCGCAGAAGAGCCGCGTGACCGAGAACAGCGTCGCCGCCGTCCAAGCCCTTGTCCGCGAGACGGTGCCATTGGCCAAGAAGCGCATGCCGCGCTGCGTCTTTGGCGCGGCGAGCTACCTCCTCCCCGAGTCGAATGCCCTCAAGGCGGCGCTGGTCCTTGCGGTGGGTGCGGTCGCGGTCGTCGCACTGCAGCGCTCGGCCAAGCACTAGAGTTGATAGATGATAGTACACATATATACCTCCTCTACACCGCTGGCGGACGTACGAGTGCAGTTGCCGCTGTGTGACTTGATGGCACCGTATTCACAGTCGTGGCAAGTCCGCGCGTCGGATTCTGCTGCGAAACGCTCGTTCGTGCCGCCACGTCATCCATCCGGATGCATCGTGTATATTTCCGGACATATCTTTGCAGGTTGCAGGGGTCACCGTGTCGGCCCCCGATTGAGGTTCGGATGCATGCGCTCGGCAAGACGGAGTTCAACTCCCGGTCGAGACCATCGTATCGATGAGTCTCGTTCAGACAGCAGTAGGGCGCAACGACATTCTCAAAAACGACTTGAGAACAAAACTCACAATACTATGCATTTCCAATTTTTCAACTTTGAAACCCCCTGATATACATGATTTGTTGCATATACATGTACATGCAAATACTGTACAAGTCGTCATTAAACGCACCAGACAAAAGGCCGACGAGGTAGCCGTCGCTCGAGATGCCACCGAGGATCGTCGTGGCCACGCGAACCGTGGCGTTGAAGTCCTTGTAACATGTGACGATCTTGACGGTCCGCAGATGCGCGCGAACGTAAGCGCGAAGCGGCTGGACGACGCGGCGGCAAAGTCGCGGTGGTCGTCAAGGCTGAGCAAGAGTGCTCGGTAGGCGTCGCTGCGACGACCTCGCAAGACATTCGCGTGCAGGCCATTCGCTTCGACAAACGCGCGCCACGCGTCCGAGACAGGTCTCCGCTCGTCCTCACGTCGAAGCTCGGCGCTCTCTTCAACCGTCCCGGCCGTCGCGCAAAAGACGCAGGTACCAGTTTGTTGAAATGAGTTACTACTTGGTACTTGTTTGGTAGGATCTTGATCGGACGCGCGGAGGCTTGAAATTGCAGCTTTACCGGCACAGAAATTGTTCGAGTTTGCTGCCGAGCTCGAGGTGAAGGGCATTGTGTGGTGTTATAGAACAGTGGATGCTACGCACTACACAAGGCATTTGGCCTCAATGGTATGAACGATCCAATGTTGACGGTATAAACCATCAAATTTCAAAGAAAACGCCGGCGATGTACCCGTCGCGCGTGACACCGGCGAGAAACGAAATGCTATCCTTGTACGCGCCGACGTCGGCCTCAAAGCACGTGACAATCTTGACGTCGGCCAAGTGTGCAGTGAGCTGCGCGTGCAGCGGCTGCAGAACATTGCTGCAAAAAGCGCGGTGGGTGGCCCGGTGGTGGATCAGCGCGTCGGCGGCGTCTTGGCGCCACGACTCGGACGTATTCGGATGTAGACCATGGGCGTCCACGAGCGAAACCCATGCGACCGCAACCGCGTCTTCCTCTTCGTCATTGCTCGCCAGAGTGGCAGATGACGTGCAGAAAGCACAAGTGCCGTCGTCCGACAAGTTGTACCAGTGCCACCCGACGCCATGGGGAATGGAGAATCTATCGCCGACAAGATCGTCGCGAGGGTAGTTGAAGAGCTTGGTCATATCCTCGCGGCCCCAGCGCATCGACGTCGGGTTCGGGCGGCAGCACGGTGCCATGAGCAGAGTGCTGATGTTGTAAAAGTCGAAATGACCAGTCGACCCAGCGGGTGGTCGCTTGTACGTCGTGAGCGCGCGCGCAATGATCTCGGCGAGCTTCTGGCGCATGACCAGCGCCCGATACAGGGCCTTGTGGTCCGTGACGCTGGTCTCGGCGCGCTTGGCGAGCTCGAAGCAGCCGACGTACTTGTCGTCGACGTAGCCGTTGGTGATGTGTCGTCTGCAAAGGATATCGAGGTAGCTCATCCCCATATTTTCAAACACATCTTCGTCGTAGAGCGTCGGGCAAAAGGCGAGGCAGTTGGTGCTGTAGTCGGTGATGGCGCTGACCAGCGACGGGTTGGTGAGCACGGTGCTGGCGCTGCACGAACGACTGGTCGGCGGCGATAACAGCCAAGCAGAGCGCTTCGAGGAAGCCATGGTGTGCTCCGAGACGAAATGAAAAGTGAAGGGATTGCGGACGACGGCTTTGATTGGCCAAAGCGGTACTCGAAAACGACTTGCGATTGGACAGATTTAAGAACCTTTTTGATGGGACAGTTTGCAGCATTTTTGAAAGCTGCGACCGTTGGTTGACAGGACCAAGCGTTTCGGTCTTGGCGCCATGTCGCTCCAGCCCACCATGAATGCTAGTTCTTTACTATAGCGTGTGCGCTACTGTGCAAAAGCACAGTAGTGCAAGACAAGCGTGCAGGTGTCGCGAGAGTCCAGGATTTATATATTTTTACAAAACATCGACAAACCCAAAGAAGACGCCGATGAGGTACCCGTCGGCGGTCAGCCCGCCCACGAAAGACGAGCTCACGATTTGGTCGACGCTGTCACGGTAGTCGCACGTGACGATCTTGACGTCACTCGAGTGCGCGCGGAGGTGCACCTGTAACGGCTGCATGACGTTGCTACAGAATGCGCGGTTGGCCTCGCTGTTTTGAACCAGCGCTCTATAAGCGTAAGCGCGCCACGACCGGAACGCATTGATGTGCAGACCGTGGGCGTCAATGAAAGCGCGCCAGTTGTCTGAGATCTCGTTGTGGTGCTCACCGTACCCAAACTCGTCCTGCAGCCCGTAATCGAGCGCGACGGTGCCAGCGGTGGCGCAGAACGCACAGGTACCGTCGTCCGACAAGTTGTACCAGTGCCACCCAACGCCGTTGGGAACGCCAAAGCCATTGTCGCGAAACCCGGTGACGCTGGCGCCAAAGACCTTGGCGACATCGTCGCGGCCCCACGTCGTTGAAGTCGGGTCCACGCGGCAGCTTGGCGCAAACAGCATCGGGCATACTTCATAAAGATTGAACTGATCGATACCACCGGCTGGTTGCCGGTACGTTGTTGCGATTGGCGCAATGATCTCAGCGAGCTCCTCGCGCAGTTTCAGCGCCTGATGGAGAGCATCGGGATCCGCGGCGCCTGTCTTGGCACGCGCCACAAGCTCGTCCTTGCTGAGGTTGTCTGTGTGGTCGACGCAGCTGTAGGTGGCGTGCGGTGCAGGGGAAGACATAGTGACTTGGGCGAGGTAGATTGTCAAATGAATCGTTTGAAAAGGTCCTCTGCCAACACTATTGACAGAGGACGATGTTACCCATACAAACACCAATATATTTGTGAATGAAGGTCTTCACTCCGCTGGGATTTCACTGCAGCATCAATGCGCTTGTCGAAATCAAAATGAGATCACCATGAGGCCGCCACGTCAGGAACGAATTTTAGCCAATGAGAAGCCAGGGAATTTTAACGGGTGCCGTCAAAAGTCCAAAGCATCAGAGTATTTTGCACATACCCCAGGCGGCACCACTCCTTCTCTCACATGCTATCAATTTATCGAACTATGAATTGAATAAATCATGAATAATTAATACAAAGGTCAATAATGCGACACATATAAGGTGTGTTGGTCGTGACATTTTGCATGTGGGTTTTTTCATACATGAGTTTCAGAAATATTTCAGAGCGATTGGGAAAATTTCGTTATTGACGCTGCACACTGCGAGGATGTTGGGAGTGAACTCTGTCAAACATTATTCGCTCCTATTAACACAATTCACTTTGGCAAGACGGGTGACGCGAGAGTCCAGGATATTTTTCTTACAAAACATCGACAAAGCCAAAGAAGACGCCGACGAGGTACCCGTCAGGCGACA